CATCGTCATCATCATCGTCATTATCATCGTCATCATCATCGTCATCATCATCGTCATCATCATCGTCATCATCATCGTCATCATCATCATCATCATCATCATCATCATCATCATCATCATCATCATCATCATCGTTCCACCACCATGTCATTATCCTTATCATCATCGTTCCACCACCATGTCATTATCCTTATCATCATCATCATCATCATCAACACCATCGTTCCACCACCATATCATTATCCTTGTCATCATCATTGTCTCATTATCGTCATGATTATGCTGCCATTGTCATCCCCATTATCATGATCCCCATCCCATGAGCACTCCACCATCTTCTCCCGAACACAGCGCAGCCCCACTTTTGATTGTATACAAGCTATCTTTTTCTGGTCCGCTACAGCTGTCATGAGGGTGCATTGTGTTCAGGGGACGATGGTAGTTGTAATCACCTTGTCAACATCATCTTCATCACCATCCTCATTGTCTCCACCATCACCACCATCTCCACCACCATCACCACCATCTCCACCATCATCACCACCATCACCCTCATCACCACCATCATCACCATCACCACCATCACCACCATCACCGCCATCGTCACCATTGCTACCATCGCCACGACTAGGAGGAGGAGGAGAAGAAGAGCAGCAACAACAACAAGAAGCACAACAACACCAGTGTAAGCTGGACCATCAGTGATGATGGAGATAGCAAATGGAGATGGATTTTGATGATGGAGCTAGCAAATGGTGATGGGTTTTGTTCATTTTTGTAATTATGGGGGGGGGGGTGGCGTACCGCAGATGTGAAAGTGCCAATCAAGTAATGGGTGGAATTCCCCTTTTTCACTTTCTTAGAGCGCATACTCGTCTTTACTGAATGTGGCCATAGTTGCAGGTTTGATACATTCACATGTGAAAGAAAACGCAGAGGGGTGATTATATGCCGCAAGTAGGTTTCATACCAGTACTGTCTCTAGTGAATCTGGCCATAGTTGCAGGTTGGTACATTCACATTTGAAACAAAAAACAGAGGTGTAATTATATGCCGTAAGTCGGTTCGTCTTCCCGCCGAGCTTTTAGCATATGCATGCATGTTCTCCCACCCCCCTCGTTACCCTGACTGATATTGTGGGGTTAGCTGGACATTCAAAATTTTGAATGAATTGGGGTGGGGTACGGGGCCGGATGCAGGATGTAAATGTGGATTTTGAGCTAGCGGATGGCATCTTCACCCAAGCGACAATCAGGAACGCTAAGTCCGTCTGCCTCTGGCTGGGAGCAAACGTCATGATGGAGTACTCGTTTGAAGAGGTGAGGAGAAGATATGACTGGATGTCTTTGTGTTTCGAGCATCCCAAACCCAAAAGGTTCCCCACATAGGTTTTCCCCAAAAACTTCCAGTAACTAGAGTGAAGAAGGTGAACAAAGCGCCTAATGCTGCCAATCCTCAAATGCACCCTGTCTGTTTTTCAAACTTTTATGTCTGAACTTTTTCTGAAGGGACCCCATGCTTCCCCCCCCTCCCCCCCGCCTCCTCCCTCCCCCCTGTCCTTTTTCTTTTTTGTTCTTTCGTTCGTTTTTCCTCCTTTTGTATTTTTTTGTCCTGTTTGTCTTTTTTTTTTTCTCCCGCCTTTTTTTTTTTTTTTTTTTTTTTCCGAGTAACTCAAGTTCTGTTCCCTTAAAGCGACCCCATTCATTGTTTTCTCATTTGCATTCTCTTTTTTCGTTTATGAAATGAGCCAAGTACTTGTTGAGGTCAACCTCGCATACATCAGTGAACATTCACATGAGAGTTCACACGTGAGAAGCCAGATCGAGATACAATCAACCCTTGAAGATGTCGTCTCCAATATTATTATCAATATACAAGAATGTTCGTCTCCGGCTCTGCCGCACACACACGCACATCGGATCTCAACCAGAGAGCGGCTATGGCTTCTCCCCTCTCTTCTCTCTCTCTCTCTCTCAGTCTCTCTCTCTCTCTCTCTCTCTCTCTCTCTCTCTCTCTCTCTCTCTCTCTCT